GTGGATGTCAAATTATCCTGCACTGTTTGTTGAAGAGACTGTTCTTTCCCAGTGAATGGTCTTGGTACCATTGTTGAAAATCGGTGGATCACATATGTGAGGGGTTTTGGTCTCAATTCTATTTGACTAATCTGTAAGTCTATAATTATGCCAGTGACACTGTTTTGGTAAGTGTAGCTTTTTTTTTGTTTTTATTTCAGCATATTATGGGGGTACAGATGTTTAGGTTATGTATGTTGCCCTTACCCCCTGCCCCCCAAGTCTGAGCTTCAAGCGTGTCCATCCCCCAGATGGTGTGCATCGCACTCTGTGTATGCAAATACCCGTCCCCTCCTCCCCCCACCGCCACCTGCCCGGCACCTGATGAATGTTACTCTTATATGTGCACCAATGTGTTGATCAGTTAATACCAATTTGATGGTGAGTACATGTGGTGCTTGTTTTTCCATTCTTGGGATACTTCACTTAGTAGAATGTGTTCCAGCTCTATCCAGGAGTATACAAGAGGTGCTATATCACCATTGTTTCTTAAAGCTGAATAGTACTCCGTGGTATACATATACCACATTTTGTTAACCCACTCATGTATTGATGGACACTTGGGTTGTTTCCACATCTTTGCAATTGTGAATTGTGCTGCTACGAACATTCGGGTGCAGGTGTCTTTTTCATAGAGTCTTTTGTTCTTTTGGGTAGATGCCCAGTAATGGGATTGCTGGATCCAATGGTAGATATACTTGTATCTCTTTAAGGTATCTCCATATTGCTTTCCACAGAGGTTGCACTAGTTTGCAATACCACCAACAGTGCAGGAGTGTTCCTATCTCTCCGCATCCACGCCAACATTTATCGTTTTGGGACTTCTTGATAAAACCCAGCCTCACTGGAGATAAGTGATATCTCATTGTGGTTTTGATTTGCATTTCCCTGATGATTAGAGATGTTGAGCATTTTTTCATATGTTTTTTGGCCATTATTCTGTCTTCTTTTGAAAAGTTTCTGTTCATGTCGTTTGCCCAGTAAGTGTAGCTTTGTGGTAAGTTTGGGAAACAGAAAGTTTGAGTCCTCCAACTTTGTTGTTTTTCTACTTTGTCTTAGTACTTGTCCTTTGAAATTCTATGTTAAATTTAGGATGGATTTTTCTATTTTTACAAAAAAAATGCTGTTGGGGTTTTGATAGGGGGTGCAGTGAATCTGTAGAAGTATTGCCGTCTTAATGTTCTTATCCATAAACACAGCATCGTCCATTTATTATGTCATGTTACTTTTCTTTCAGCAGTCTCTTGTAGTTTTATTTTTTTCTGAGACAGTCTCACTCTGTTGCCCTGGGTAGAGTGCCATGGCGTCAGCCTCGCTCACAGCAACCTCAGACTCCTGGGCTCAAGCAATCCTCCTGCCTCAGCCTCCCGAGTAGCTGGGACTACAGGCATGCAGTATCATGCTCGGCTAATTTTTTCTATTTTTAGTAGAGACAGGGTCTCACTCTTGCTGAAGGCTAGTCTCAAACTCCTGACCTCAAGTGACTCCCCTGCCTCAGCCTCCCAGAGTGCTGGGATTACAAGCGTGAGCCACCACACCTAGACTCTTGTAGTTTTCGTTGTACAAGTCTTTCTTCTTGGTTAAGTTTATTCCTAAGTATTTTATTCCTTTTGATTCTATTGCACATGAATTATTTTCTTAATTCTTTTTCGGTTCATTGGCAGTATATATAACTAGGTTTTATGTGTGGATTTTATACCCTGCAACTTAGCTGAAATCATTTATTAGCATTTTTGTGTGTGGATTCGTCAGGATTTTCTACATATGAGATCATGTCATCCGTGAAGAGATCATTTTTCTTCCTAATTTTTTTATTTTTGCCCAACTGCTCTGCTCTGCCTAGGACCTCCACTGCTGTGTTGAGTAACAGTGGCAAAAGTGGGCATCCTTGTCTTATTCCTGATCTTAAGGAAAAGCTTTCAGTCTTTCACCACTGAGCATGGTGTTTGCTGTGCGTTTTTCCTATATGGCCTTTGTCATGGTGAGGAAGTTCCCTTCTATTCTTAACAGGGATTTCTTTAAATGTCTGGACCCAAAAAGGAAAAACGAGTGTATTTATCTCTTTAAGTCTTCTGGTAGACACCACAGGGGAAGCGGCTGCATCTGCACTGGCCCCTCAGGGACCTGCCAGAACTACTAAAAGACAAAACCCCGAATTTCTGGAGGGCATGGTCCCCACTGCCCATCCCGGCCCCAGGCAGCGTCTCCGGGAGTGCAGGGTGGTCTCCCTGCAGCCAAGGTGGAGCTGAGGAACAGGGGCAGCAGCTGGTGGCACGTTGCTTGCCAGAGCAGAGCACCTCTCCTTTCTCACACCCCGTCTGGTTGCTGAGTGATCAGCCTTGAGATTTGCAAGACTGTGGGTTCTGAACAAGCTTCCCTACCCCACCTCACTATTTCCATGATGTCTCCAGTTTTTAGATTTGATGCCTAGGACAGGATTCAGTTCCAGAACCTGCCTCGGCAGCAAACACGTGGCATGCGGCTGTGCTCCCGCCCCTTCTGGGCTGCGTTCGCTCGACAGGCGGCCGTTCGGGCCTCTCAGCCTCACAGAGCTGTTCTGGCTTTGGTGGCGACAGGGAGATTTGAGGCCAGTTAGCACAGAAGCAACTGAGTCATGGAAGCTTGAGAAAAATCCTCTCTCATGTTTGAAGAGAGACAAGGAATGCTTGTGAATGGAGATGAGAAACATCACTGAATTTGGGTGCATCTTTTTTTTTTTTCAGGATCTCTGGTAAGAAGAGTGAAAGCAAAGAAGCCAAGAAGTCTGAAGAACCAAAAATGCGTAAGAAACCTGGGCCCAAGCCCGGATGGAAGAAAAAGCTCCGCTGTGAGAGGTGAGGGGACTGGAGTGTGGGGCCTGCACTGCTTGTGGGCCACGTTTCCACGTGTGTTCTGCCTTGCAGGGAGGAGCTGCCCACCATCTACAAGTGTCCTTACCAGGGCTGCACGGCCGTGTACCGAGGGGCTGACGGCATGAAGGTGAGGGCCGGGGGAGCACCAGGTCTGCAGAGCTGGGCAGACTTGACCCAGGGACTCCCCTGAACCCAGGCTGATGGAGGCTTGGAGCAGCCATGGCCAGATCGTCCCCAGGGAGAGGATGTGGAGCCAGCCTGTCACTCTAGAGACACACCCTTGTAGGTCCAGATGCTTCTTAGAGTGAGGCTGTGAGGGAGCAAGGTGTGTGGTCCAGAACAGCTGGCTCTGTCCTTCCTGGAGGAACAGTCTGCTATAGCTGGAGGGTCGGCCACCCGCCACCCAGGGCGCTGAGCAGGGTCCTTGGGAGGTGGGATATGCCACTCAGCCCTGTGGGGACTTTGTCCTGGCAAGGCACTGAGGGTCTCTCACCGGGTCCTTCCTGCAGAAGCACATCAAGGAGCACCACGAGGAGGTCCGAGAGAGGCCCTGCCCCCACCCTGGCTGCAACAAGGTGTTCATGATCGACCGCTACCTGCAGCGCCACGTGAAGCTCATCCACACAGGTACCTGCACTCACGGGCCGACCATCACGGGGCATGGCACATGTTGGGGGAGGATCCCAGCATACACCCCAGAGTTGGGGGGCTGTGCCCAGGAAGGCACCCTTCTAGGAGGCCCAGGGCTGCACCTGGGGCTTCAGGTGCTCATGGGTCACAAAGGCAGATGGAGGCCAAGTTCTGTGTGGTTCTGCCTGCCCATGACACCCTGAGAAAAACAGTCTTTCCCAGGACCTAGGCAGTTTGTCACACCTGACAGCCAAGAAATCTTGGTGCCCTCTTGCAAGTTCATTATTTTAAAAAACCCACTTATTGTAATCCTTTTTGGATTACAAAAGTAACTCATATGCATTTAGCAACTGTCAAAAAAATAGGAAGAGCACAAAGATAGAAACCACCTCCCACACGAGTGCTTAGTTCTAGCCTTTTCTCTGCATGTGTTCTCACCTTGGGCCCATGTCATGTATTCAAAACAACCTTCTGACTCCCCTGCAATTTCAGTGTGTAACGTACACAGGCCTGCGTTTCCTGCTCTGTCTGCCCTGTCCACAGGAGCAGTTCCCCTGAATCGAATTCCTTCCTGTTTAAGATAAATTTGTTATACATACAGCCCACCCTTAAACACAGGTTTGAACTGCTTGGGTCCACTTATACATGGACTTTTTTGAGCCAAACATGGATGAAAAGTACAGTATTCGTGGATTCAAAACCTGTGTATGTGGTGGACGCTGGCTCCAGGACTCGAGCGTGCATTTCCCGACCGCAGCGCTTGAGACCACCCTTCCCCATGGAGATCTGAGCATTTAGGTGCCTGTGCTCACCCAGCTTTGGTCTTTCAGAAGTGCGGAACTACATCTGTGACGAGTGTGGACAGACCTTCAAGCAGAGGAAGCACCTTTTGGTCCACCAGATGCGCCACTCGGGAGCCAAGCCCCTGCAGTAAGTGTGGGCCAGGTGCCTCCCTGAGGCCGGGACCTGCCCAGGCCCTTCCTCACACACCTCTGTCCCCCAGGTGTGAAGTCTGTGGGTTCCAGTGCAGGCAGCGGGCGTCCCTCAAGTACCACATGACCAAACACAAGGCGGAGACTGAGCTGGACTTTGCCTGTGACCAGTGTGGCCGGCGGTTCGAGAAGGCCCACAACCTCAACGTGCACATGTCCATGGTGCATCCGCTGACGCAGACCCAAGACAAGGCCCTGCCCACGGAGGCAGAGCCACCCCCTGGGCCACCAAGCCCCTCTGGGACCACGGAAGACCAGGCTGTGAAGCCCGAGCCCACCTGAGGCCTGCAGGTGGGACGTGGGGTTCCTCACCCGCCCCTGCTGTGTGCACGTCACCAGGGCTGGCGGTGGCGGCTTGGTGTGTAGCTCACATAGCCTTTGAGCTCTGTTCTGGGACCAGGGGTTTATGTTCCTGCCAACACCAACTAACGTGGGGCCAGACACAGATTATAAATAATTGATTCCTTTCCCACTAAAGCAACCAACGAGGTTTGTAATCCACTTTTTAGTGCAACAAGAGCTCCATGTTACGCTTGTAATAAATTATTCACAAAGGAGCTGGGCTGGCGCATGGTGACGAGTCCAGGCAGAAGAGGTGAGGCTCCTGGTACAGGTCGTCGGGCACAGCCTGCTGCCTGCTGAGGAGGGCGGCGCTCACTTCTGGGTCATAGTCCCCACGATCAGCCAGCAGCTGTGAGGAGACACGTGTGCTCAGCACACAGCCCCTTGGGGCAGAGGGGACCCAAGCAGCCGTGTCTGGAGACCGTGGGAGAGGGGTGGGGAGGATGCAGCCCAGCTATGCTGACAGCACCATTGCCCATGGACCTAAGGTGTCACAAACCAACCCCCAGGTAAGCATCCTGGCGTTACCTCTGCCATGTGTGAGAAGCTCTTTTTCGGGCACCGAGGTATTAACTGCAGCAGAAAAAGACGAGCTTTTGTGATCAGTTCTACAGGGTTGCCCTAGAGAGAAGACAGGCAGAGTCACAGGTTAATGGAGCTACTGCGAAGGACCGGCGTGCCCCCCCCACCCCCAACCTGCAGGCTATGCCAGAATGTTCCTGGGCAGAAGGAGCCTCAGGCTGGGGGAGCTCGCCTGGAGGTGGGACTGGCCCCTGCACCTGCCTGGCCCTGGAGCTCTGGGTTCCTGGTGGCCAGAAGTGAGAATGCACTTGTCTCCCCAGCCACGAAGAGCTGCGTCAGTTTCAGGTACATGTCGACAGCAACAGGCAGGAAGGCCTCCTCTCTGACCGCAGCGTCTTCGTCGAAGTAGGAGAGGAGACTAGAGGCAGGGACGGGACGACAAGAGCTGTCACTGACAGATTATCGGCTCGTCTCTGAAGTGGCGCTACAGACAGCCCCGACCGCAAGCGTCCGCATGGGCTTCCCTTGACCAGCCCACAGGTGCACTTACCTGTAGAAGGCAAAGGGCAGCAGCCTGGCATGCTGACCCGGGGCCACACGGAGGAGGAGCTGCCCCAGCCCGGCATCTACAACAAGGAGAGGGTCAGTCGGCTCTGCCTGTCCAGGGCAGGGGACGTCATGTGCTCTGGGAGGCCTGTGGGTCAGGCTGAGGACACCTGGGCACCAGTCGGAGCTGCTGGAAACAGGATGCGGCAGACCCCACAGCAGGCCCCCTGTGGACCTGGCAGCACCCTCGGCCCCACCAGCGCTCCAGTAAATTCTCTCCTTGCTTTCAACAAGTGTGTACTGAATTTGTCCCAAGTGAAATGGAGCTTAAGAATGCAGCAAGAAGATGAGCTCATAAAAATGAATGTGTAAAGTGAGCCCCAAGGAGGGCTTGTTCCTAACCATTTGAAAGTTGCTTCCGAAAACAGTCGCCACCAGCACCTTCCCAACCGATGCTTCCCACACCACAGACAGGAACAATCCAGCCCTGTGTCCCCTCGGTGAGTTTCTTACCAGTCTCTGTCAGCTGGAAGAGGACCAGCCAGGGCATCCTCCTCTTCTGCAGACACGTCAGGACCTCGGCACAAACGGCCACAGCCTTCAGGGAGTCGACGGCTTCCTGTGGCCCAAGAGAGAAGAACCCTGAGAGGACGTTTGTAGCACTGACCTGAGCTCACGTGGGCAAGAGGGCGTTTCCTCTTTTCTCAAAGTCTCAAAGTTGGTGGCGGCCCAGAGAAGGCGTCACACTGGGGCCTCTGCATAGAAGAGGCTCCGTAGGACACGCGTAGGCGGCCAGGGACCCACACCCCAGGGTGCTGCACCAGGCTCTAAAGGCCTATGGCCTGGGAGTCCTCACACCTCACCCCAGATACCCAAGGACCAGGACTGGGGGGGCCTGGGGCCACAGCCCAGCCCACAGTGGGGGATGGCCACCCCAGCCAGTGAGGTCTGACTTACTTTTGGGGTCAGATGTGACGACAGCAGGTCCATCAAGGAAAAGAAAAAAAGGAAAACCAAAAGCTGCAAATAAAATGTGCCGTTATTGCAATAAAATGACCTGTGCACTGTGATTCTAAGTATGACCCACATGTTCTTTCTTCCTTACCTGAACCTTAATGCTCACCTAGGCCATAAATCCTTTCAGTGATCTTCTCAGAATAAAAACAACAGCTTAATTGCAAATAAATTATTACTGACTGGGTCATTTTATACTTGCCTTTACGCACGGCTAAAAGCAATTTGAAAAAGTGACCACAGCAACAAATCGTGGCTGCTGGGCCATGGGAGCCATGAGGCTTCCTGTCGGAAGTGTGTGTGTGGAGCCCTCGAAGACGAGCCACGGCCGTCCTGACCCAGCGAGGCCACCCGCACACTCGGGAGTGAAGGCTCCGGAGCCGCCGAAATCCCTTCTGAAAATGGACTTGGAGGGACGCTTGTCTGGTCTTTACGGCGGCGAGAACCCTCGGCTCTGCTACTGATCTAGTTTTCAGGTCGGCACGTAAGTTGTAAGCCAACCCCGAGACCCACCCACATTCAGGAGTGGGGGCCAGAGGACGGCTCACCCCAACTCTCTTCTGGGAGTTCTCTACTTTCTCCTCAGGGAGTCACGACCTCTATGCACCTGGCACCCATTACAGAAAATACGTGGGTGCCACTGGCCTGGGGCAGTCAGGGCCTCTCCAGGGTCCAGAGTCCAGAATGGTCCCTGGCCTGGGACTAGGAGCACCCTCCTCTGTCCCCCGTCCTGTGGCCGTGGCAGCCCTGCCCTCTGCCTCGCGTGCCCAGAGCTCTAGGGCCAGGTTGCCATGGGTGTGCAGCTGAGGGTGCCCGTAAAACCTATAAACTCAGTGACAGATTTACTTCCAAATAAAGTGACAAGAACTTCAAACCCCATGTTTGTTCTTGAAAAAGTTAATTAAGCAAACCCTGAGAAATACACTGATTAAAAGGAAGTTTACTAGAAAAAAAGCAGATTGGGTGTCTTACCTCCTCTCTCGCACAGTCCAGCTTCTGCAGCTGTCTCCTGACATCTTCCTTCTTGACTCGCCGCATCGCAAAGTGCACGGCGGCAGCCGAGACCCAGGCCAGGTCGGGTGGAGGGGAGGCTGCCTCGGGGGAGAGGAAGCTGCAACAGAGAGAACCAGGTCGTCAGCCGCATCCTTGTTCCTCTGCCGTGACAGCCCCGCACACCTCTGGGGCTCACCTTTCCCACAGAGGGCACAGGGCTCAGAGCTGGGAGAAGGGAGGTGCTTCCCCAGATGCCCCTGGCTCAGCGGGAGGATCTAGGCAGGTGTGAGCCTGCCCTGGGCAGCGATGCTGAGGCCGACATCACGGAGAGGCCGGGCTCGTCCTGTCCACCTGCCTGTGCTCTTGGGCTCTGGCTGCCTAAGTGCAGCTCTCCACACCTGGCCGGCAAATGGGTCAGGTGTCCCCTCCTGAGACAGAGGACGAAGGAGCTACCAGTGCGGTACCTAACACTTTTCCAGCAAGTTAAAAATCTCGCAGAAAATAAAACATTATGTGGTTGGTTTAAGAAACTTTAAACAATCTGATCTGCCTTTGTTGAATTAGGGTTGCTGGCGAGACCTGCTTTCCCTGGTTTTCTGAGCACAGCGCAGGAGGGCATCGGGGATCCCGAACTCTGGTGACAGAGCTGTTCCGTAGGGACCTCTGAGCACACAGCTCCCTCCAGTCCAGCAGGCACCGGGGACCGTTACCGGCCCTGAGGAGGGTGGGTTAACCCAGACCACTGGGCCCAGCCGAGAGCACCTGACTGGGGTCCGCAGGTCAGAGTGGGCTGAGAGTCTGCACCCCTACCCCAGCCCCAGGTCCTGCCTCGGGACCCCGCACCCGATGCTGGAGGAGGGGCAGGTGGGCAGGAAGCACTGAGCTGAAATGAGACTGCCGACTCAGCCTTTCCACCGCTCGAGCTTCCTGCACGCACAGCCGGGCAGAGCGCGGTCCCTTCTCCCTTCTCACACAGATCTCACAGAGGCTGCCCCAGATGGCTGTGGAACAGCCCAGAGCAGGTCCCAAGCGCAGCCAGGCACCCACGCCCTCACCCTGTGGCCAGCACGTACTCTCTGGCGAAGCGCTGGGCTTCCTGCAGCCTCTGCAGCTCCCCGGGCAGCGGGCGCTGGCAGCGTCTCCCCCACTGGCGCAGCAGCACCGGCTCCAGCCTCGGCCACCACCGCTGCGGAGAGAGGGTGTGTGTGGGACACACTCCCACGTCTGGAACCAGGAAGACCCAGAGCCTTGAGTGACCAGCAGGCAGCCGCATGGCTACCACTCATCCATCACCGTGTGACCGACTTCATTAACTAATTCACTAATTACTTTAAGACAGGGTCTGGAGTGCAGTGGCCTCAGCACAGCACACTGCAACACAGAGCTCCTGGGCTCAAGCGATCCTCCTGCCGCGGCCTCCCGGGGTGCTGGGCTGACAGGCGCGCACCACCACGTACAGCCTACTTCTCATTTCAAGCTCAGAGCAACTCCAGGAGGCATTCTCGTCCTCGCTGACAAAAGACCTGAGTCTGGGGAAGAGGGCGCCTGGCCTAGGGAGGTGCCCTGCGTGCCTCGTCCTGTTGGGTGCCCCGTGCAGGGACATCCGCCCAGCTGAGATGCGAACGAGCAGCCAGACTTGAGGAGCCCAGACTGCTCAGGGAGCTTCGCAGGAGGTGGACCTCTTGTTGCCCGGCTAGGCAGTGGCCGGTCCTCTACCTCGGGACACCCAGGAGGACAGCTCACGTTTCCAGGACCCTGACCAGGCGGCCAAGGCCACCCTGCAGGCTCCTCCCACAGCCTGGATGTGACAGTCCACACGGGAGTCTGCCACACACAGCAGGGAGCTGAGGCGGCGAGGTCAGACACGCGGTTACACCACGGGAGGCACAGGCACAGCCCTCAGTGAACGCACAGAGACCGAGTGAAGGAGCGAAACCCACAGGGCGGGGACAGTTCTGGGAACAGGAGACTTGCCGTCCCCATGGGCTGTGTGCTGGGGTTCCTGTCCCATTTTTCCTGCTGTAACGAGGATGAACAGTGGGAAACGGAGAGCAGCTTCTGAGAAGCCCTGGTGGCTGCGAGTCCCCCACCCATCCCAGAAACACCCCGAGCAGACGGCGGCAGCAAGGCCTACCAGCGCGGAAGTCAGGACCAAGGGGCACTCGCTCCGGCACTCGGCCAGCGTCAGGTCAGCCGTCAGGGAGGGGTCGCTGCTCTGCAGACAGGCTTGCAGGAGTCCCTGCGGAAGACGACACTCCAGCAGCTCAGTGGCTTCCCACGACCCAGGCCCAGGACAGTCCGGGCGATGTGGGAACCCAACCCCGGACCTGCCGAGGGGCTCTGAGGTGGCTGGGGCACGGCTTACCCTGAAGAAGTGGGCGGTGATGTCGTGCGTCAGGGCGCCTCCGTGCGAGCAGAAGTTTCTCTGCAAGAGTTCAGCGAGACAGTAAGAAAGGGCCGCAGGGCAAGGAGGTGAGATCAGAGAGGCTGCTGCGCGGACTCAAGTCACCAACAGGATGCTCTGAGGGACTCGGGACACGGCAGTCCCACCCGCAGCCGACCCTCGGCCTGGACCACTAACCAGGGCCTGGCCGCGCCTGCTGCCAGAGGTTCCCAGCTCACGGGCCTTCTAACGGCTTCTCTGTGCAGCCCTGTCCCTCAGCCCACCGGCTCAGGCACACAGAGGGGCTCCGGGTGGGAGCGAGGGACGTGCATGCGGCAGCAGAACTGCTCAGGGCCCCGGGATGACACCACCACCCAACCATCGTCTCGTTCTCTGTCCTCTGCTAACCAAGCGCTTCGCGTTTTCCCATCTAACTGCCATGTGCAAGCCTGAGCTTCCAGAAACCACCTTTGGTAAGACTTTGAAGAAAATCGTAAGGAGGGCGGCCACAGTGGCGCACGCCTGTGGTCCTAGCACCGCGGCAGGCTGAGGCAGGAGGATCGCTTGAGCCCAGGAGCTCAAGGCTGCAGGGACCTGTGAGTGTGCCGCTGCATCCAGCCTGGGCCACAGTGTGAGACCCTGTCTCCAAAAACAGTAAGAAAAGGCCCTTAGGAGAAGCTGCCCTCCTCGGGCTGGAGCCAGCCCTGACACTGGCACACCTGCAAGTGCCACCTTCTGCTTTGACTGGTGTATAAATGAAAGGAAATAGGGTTGCCTGGTGGCAGCACAGTTATCAAATTGCCACTGGGCTTCTGTACACAGGAAACAGGCAAAATCGGGAAAAATAAAGGGAGGCGCGTGGCATGCAGAATGGTCTCTAAATCCCACGGGTCCAGATCGTTAAACCTCGAGGGAAACTGTGGAAAAAGGACCTACAGCTGGCGTCTGCGCGGGGCCCTCCCCAGGACCGCGTGTCTCCCGCAGGCACAGGGCGCCTACCAGCTCAGAGTTGACCAAGTGGAAGAAGTCCTCGCAGCTGGGGGTGGTGGACGGCCCGGCCCAGAAGCTGCCCAGGAGAACAGACGGTGGCAGGCGGAGGAGCAGCCTTGGGAAGAAGGTCCACAGTGAGCACGCAGCACACACTTCACTCCTGCCCAAGGGCACAGACCCGCAAACCCAGTGACCTGTCAGAACCAGAGCCTGCGGCTGCGTCCCTGTCCGGCCACAGGTCTGGCCTGAGCACGCGTTCGGGCACCGTGCCGGCCCACGGCAGGCATCTGGAGTGTTACCAAAAAACCAGTTCTGAACATCTGCATAAAACCAAGCAGGAGCACACACCGCAGCCTAACGCGGCGACTCCCTGTAACTGGGAGATTACGTCGTGCCACACTGTGCAGTGAACACGGCCGCAGGCGACATCGCGGAACACACCGTCCTCACTTGGGCGCTGCGCCACATCCCTCTACAGAGGCGCTCCTCTGTCTGAGGGGAAGGTTTTCATCCAAAGCACCTGTCAAACCTCCAGAACTGACTCTCCGTGGGAAGCGCCAAGGAGACGGAACCATCACAGGCTCAGGGTGGGGACACAAGTAAGTAACTAACAGGGAAAAACTCTACGTAGAGACAAAGGCTGGGACAGTCACTGCGATGCTGCCGCGCCCTGGGTTACCGTTTGTACGTGAGCAGCTCCTGCTGTCTCTGAAGGCAGGCGGCCACGTCCCACCCTCTGGGCAGAGCCTGGAGCCTCGTGCGGAAAACCCGGAAGAGGAAGTGCCCCCGCGAGGGGGAGCGGCCGCCCCGCTCCAGCTCCAGCTCCACGGCCATCTCCTGGAAAAGAGCGAGGCTGAGACGCTCACACCCTTCGTCTCCAGGGTGCAGGTGTGTCTCTCGCCCTCAGCCGGGAAGAGAAAGGCCTCAGGGCTCACTGCTGGCCAAGCTGAGGACCCCAAAAGAGGAGTTTGGAGCGAGGTCTCCGCAGGGCTGGGGCAAAAGGAACAGGAGCAAGTGGGAGCAGCTTTGTCACTTGGAAACCATTTTTAAATTGCAAAAGTAAAAGAACAGTGCAAGGAACACCCCGTACCTTCACCCAGGCGCACCCACCCTGACCGCTCGCCCACTGATCACGCTCACTCTCCCTGTGTCGGCAGGTGTGTGCACACATGCGACTCTTTTCTGGACAACTGGAGGGTGAATTACGAACACAAAGGCCTTGACCCCAAACACGTCTGTGAGCATTTCCTCAGCTGGTTCCAGCTCCCTCCGCCGTGAGGGACTCCCTCGTCACATGCGACCTCAGCTGTGTCTGTCCTGCCAGCTGCCAAACGTCTAGGGCCCCAGAGGGTGCCGGGTCAGGGGCATTCTACCGCCACAGCTCACGAGCCTCCGTCATTCCGGAACATTTCCAGAGTCTTTGTTTTTTATGACACTGACATTTATGAGAAAAAGGACTGTGAGTCCAGGCGCGGTGACTCACATCTGTCATCCCAGCACTCTGGGAGGCCGAGGCGGGAGGATCGCTTGAGCTCAGGAGTTTAAGACCAGCCTGACCAAGAGCCAGACCCCGTCTCTACTAAAAATAGAAAAATTAGCCGGGCATGGTGGCACGTGCCTGTAGTCCCAG